AGTATCCCACATGAAATCAAAGAGAATGAAGAGATATTGAGTGATTCGCAAGAAAAACTATAGACTTACGATGAGGCACTTCCAACAAAGTAAAAAATATCGGGAAAAAGATGGTGATTACTTTACTTTACACTTTCACTTTATTAAATTAAGAGTAGACAGTGTATTGATCTTTTTGAATATACTGATACAAGTTTGTTCACTAATTGTTAAATTAGCTTGCAAACTTGAATCTGAATTGGAAGAGAGTAATAGACTGATAACAATATTAAAAAGAGAAAGAGGGATATCTAAGGCCTATGCCAATTTCTATGGAAATTACTTAAAAAAGAATAATAATATGGGAGAGTAAAGGTAAAAAAGAAAGAGAGTATAAAAGAATAAAAGAATAAATAATAAAGAGGATTTGAAAGGCTAATTCTCTGTACTTGCATAAAGTTTTCCAGAGCTAAGATATATAATTAGCAATAAACATAACAAAGACTCTTTTATTTTGTTTTTCTTATGAGTGAGAAATATTTATTAATAATCAAAAATTCAATTAACAAAAACTAAAATTCTTAAAATTCAATTTTAATAATTCTAATACAGTAATTTGTTTAGCATAATATGATATAAAGCTCAATAATCCAATTACAGTAATTTGTTCAGCACAATATGATCTAAAGTTCAAAGTTAATAATAATGATTTACTTAGCACAACATAATATAAAGTTATTAGCAATTTGTTAGATATAATATAATATAAAATCACTTATATACAAATTTAAAGTATATAAAGAAAATATAGGATGCAAAAGATATTTGAAAGAAAATTTTTATTAAGAGAGATTTTTATTTTTAGATATAACATGTTAAGTTAAGGCTCAAACAGCATCTCTAATATTTTTCAAAAATATAAAAAATAAATTAATTATATAGATATAGAAGTTTAAAAGTGAAATAATTAATTATATAAAAGTAAACTAATATATATAAAAGTAAAAAATTAAATAAATGAAATAACAAAAAAGTGAAATAATATATATAAAATAAAAAATTAAAATAATAAAAAAGTAATTTGATAAAATTACAAATTAATAAATTCTTTTTATTTCATTTTTGTATTAGTAACACAGATAAAAATATTAATAATATTATTTATAATTATTTATTTATCAAATTCTGAGATTAATATTTCAATTACTTCTAATAATTCTATAACTTTAATTAAATAAGAGTTATATTTCATTCATAAAATATAATAATTATATTTGTTGTATTCTGAATACTTATTATTTTCTTTTTATGAATAATATTTCATGAATAATTAAAATAATATATATATTAAGTACAACAAAAAAGTATCTCAAATATATTTTTGGCATCTTTTTCTAAACAAATTTATATATATTATTATGTTAATTCTAAAAAAAATATATAATAAATATCAAATATAAATATTTGATTTAAAAGAATATAATAATTATATTATTTGATTATTTATAATAATTTTATAATTTGTTTAGATATCTCTTTCAAAATATATAAAAATTTTTGATAATAAATTATTATATTTTGTACAATTTGCTCTCTAAATTAATTATTTAATTAATATTAATATTAATAAAAGTTAATTTTATTCTAAATAAAAATTTTAATAATTAATATTTACTTATTGATAAGAAACTAAATACAAAAATAATATAATAAATATTTTGAGAATTAGTACCTATTTCAAATATTGAAGTACTTATTATAATTTTTATTATATCTTGCTTCTATTATAATATTACTTCTTGTTTTTAAATATTTTTAAGATCTCTATGATAAATATCAAAATTAATATTTGTCATTTTTGATTGTAATAATTGTAATAATTTATCATAATTATTATGAGTAATATAATAAATTATAATTCAATTTTCTTTAATTTTTTGAATAATTATCTCAAGCTTATTAATAAAAACTAATTTAATATCTTTTCTTTTTCAGATTTCAAAAATTAATTTATTTCATGTAAAAGAGATATCTTAACTTATATTTCAATAATTAATAGAAATTTATTTAATATTATTATATATTACTATTACAAATAATAATATAAATGAAATATTGAGCTATTTTTTATATATAATATTTAAATTTTTTCATGAATTTCTATAAAATTAATTATTGATATTTATATTAATATATAATAATATATAATTTAAACTAATAAATATATTAAAAATCTTGATAATAGAGAATATAATATAATTTATCAATAATAATTTATAATTTTTTTCCATATGCATTTTGAATAAAAACTTCAAAATTATATTTTGTGATAAATTTTTTTAGGAGTTACAAAAAGTACTTTACAAAGTTCAAGAGCTATTTCTTCAAAAATTTTTCTAATTACTAGTACTTTAAGCTAAATTAGTATATAAATTTTTACAAGAAATATCTATACAAATCAATTTATACTAAAGATTAATTAAATTTAAATTTAAATAATTAATATAATATTTTAAAGTATAGAATTAATAAAAATATATCTTTTGATCTTTAATAAGAGCTTTTAAAGAAGATATTATATAATTATTTCTTTAAAATAAATTACAGATAATATATAGCATAATATCTTTTCACCTTTAGTTTTAAGTATAATAAATGTATTAGTTTTTTCTAAAAATGACATTATTGATTTTAACTATCATTCCCAAAAAGTTTCAAACCAAAAATAATTTTTGCTGCCAATTTTAATGATTTAATTAATGAAAACAAAGTTTGAGATTTTGTTGAAAGAATTTCTCGATATTGATTATTTATTATTTTTATTAATTATTTTAGTAGCCAAATAAAAATAATAAAGATGATATAATTCTTTGCTTGAACTTTTTTCAAATATTTGACAGTCTTTATACTTAATTAATATCTCAAAATTAGAAATCAAATTTGCAAATAATGGATAAAAATCACTATTTTGAATTTATTCTTTTGCTTTATGTTTGTATAGAATTATTTTCTATAAAAAAATTAAAACAAAAATAATTATATATAAATTTTAATAAAAATATTAAGTTATAAATATCTGAGAAAAGTCAAATTTTTGTAATTTAATTTTTTGATTTATTTATTTTAAGCTCATTTTTCATTTTAATTTTGAATATTTTGTATAGAATACATATTTTTTCAGTTACAAATTTAGATATATTATATAAATCTTTACTAAAAGTTTTTGTATTATTATATTTATAAATAATAGTTAACATTATTAATAATTCATTATTATTATCCACAACTGCCAAAGCATGACATGTTTTATAAGATTTTCAAAAATCAATTCGTTTATTCAAATAATATAAAATTTTTTAATTAAATACTTTATTATATAAGATTTGAAAAGTTATTACTAATCTTTGTCCAACTGGAATTTGAAAAATATTTGAAATCATTTTACGAAATTCATCAATTTCAACTAAAATATATGTTTCTAAAGTTAGTTCTTCAAGATGTAATTCAGAATTATTTTTAATCCAGCAAATCTTCTCTCAACAGAGTTTATTATTGTTCATAAGAAATTTTATTAAATCTTCAACTTGTATATACTAAAGTTCTTTATTTGTTGAATTATTAAATAAATTATTTTTTCTTCTTAATCCAGCTACATAAGTATATGCTTTGAAATATCACATTATATATTGTTCAAAAGAATGAAATCGAGTATTTTTTTTGTTTATTATATAAAAGTTAGAAATATTTTTTTTTAGTAAATATTAAAATTAAAATATAAAAATATTTAGAAAAATTTATTAATTAAATAACTTATATAAAGTTTTTCTTGTATTTTTCGTAACATGCTTTAAATCTGCAAATATTTTACTAACTATTGGAACTTTAACCAAAGTTTTATTGGTGTTTAAATCACTATCTACATATACTTCAATTAAAAAATTACGTTTTTCTAAAATTGAAGTGATTTCTTCAAGCAAACTAATTAAAATAGTATGTTCTATTTGTTGAGAGCTAAGTTCAAAATCACTATCATTCACTTTATTTTATTATTTGTTCCATGATTAATTATATATGATTTTTCAACAGTATAAAATGCAATTACTGATTTGTGAATATATTCTATATTCAAATTATTAAATTAATAATTAATTAATTAAAAATATATAAAATACTCAAAAATTCAAAATTACCAGATATATCAGCAAGAAAAATAAATTCACCACTTGCTTGTGCAGCATTACGAGAATGAGATCAAGATACATCAAAACCAAGAGAATGTTTTTTGATAGAAGATTGCTTTTTTTAATATGATCTAAAACTTTTAATAGTATTTCATGTGTATTTTCTTTAGTAAATTGAACAATTCCATTAAACATAGCTGATTGATACAAATAATATGATTAAGAACAACTTTGATTTGTAATTCCAATTAATGACAATGCTGTTTGAAAAGTCTATCTATTCATTCCACCTACTAATGTGACACTAGCTAATGTGACACCAGCTACCAAATGAGAAATGTTAATTCCTGGTACTTGATTGGTATGTTCGATAATTGTTCCATATTAATCGCATTGTATTAAGATTTTAATGTTAAATCCAGCTACTGATAAATGAATTTTTTCATATTTTAAAGTAGAATTCTTACATGAGGCACATTGAATAGAAAGAATAAGTGATAGATACTGTTGCATATTGATGAATAAAGTTGAACCTAATTTTTTATTCATTATAATTTTGTTTACAACTTCAGATAAAGTTTCCTTTTTTTGTTGTTGAATATCATTAGAATTTTTGAATTCATCATTTTCTCTATTTGTAATCTTATTAATTTTTTCTTTTAACTATTTAATTGTTCGATTAGCCATATACAGTGCTTGTTGAATAGCATTATATTTTAATATTAATGCTTGAATACTTAATGGTGACAAGACTTTTCCAAAAGGATCTAAATGAATACCAAATTGAACATGTTCCTCTTTGTTATCATTATCGTCATTATATAATATCATATCAATTTCTCATTTTTTTCTTTGAATATTATTTATACGAGTATTTTCCTTTTTGATAGCAGATTGAAGTTTTTTAGAAGAAGAATCAGATTGTGAAAGAGTTGTTGACACTATAGATGAGTGTATAGATAAAGATGAATATAAATTAGGAAAAACATTATGAAGTGTTGTTTGTAAAGTTCAATAGTTTCTAAATGAAAAAGACCCAAAAGAGAATAAAGTGATGTGTTTTGAAGTTTGTTTTGTCGAATAAATAAATGAAATCCTAAAAATTCTTTTCCTTTTTTTTTATTTTGAAAATGTTCCATCAGTTTCATAATCCTCCCAAAGAAAAATTAACCGTTGATTTTCTTCACTAATAGTTAATTTATAACAATGATTGCTTGTTTTTGTATAAATTGTATAGCCAGGCAAAAGTGAAATCCAGGTGCTGTCCAAATTTGCCAAATTTTTAACACAAATATATCCTGTATTTATATTATTGAGTTCTGAAATTTAACATTTTTATCAAAACCTTTGTCCAACTGAAATTCACGAAACTCTTTATGAATATCTAATACATAAAGGCTTTTAATCTCTCTAACTAGCTAACTGCCATTAGGACGTTTATAAGCAATCCTATTATTTTTACTTTGTTGAACAAGTGAATTAGCCCATTTGACCTTAGAAAAAATACACGTAATAATAATAACGCGCAGGAAAAAAGTTGAAAGATTTTCTAGATTTTTATATGCATGTATTATCGTTATTTCCATTATGGTCAATCAATAATAACATACGTAATGATGATCTAATGCTAACGTTACGAATCAGAGTATGCGCGAAGATTTCGGTCCTCTTTGCTATTGTCGTCTGTTGTTTTGGTCGTGCGACATTTTCATTCAGTTTATTGTTATTAGTTGACTATTTTCGCTGACATTTTGTGCTAGTATTCTTCGTTGACAGATACGACTTCTTCCAGTTTGATTTTGGTGAGACAAGTTCTTGCAGTAGATTTTCTATCTTAGTGAATTTGTAGCTTGTATTTTCTGCTCGTGGGCATGTTTTCGTCGATGTTTCCCAGTCATCGTAAGTTTCTAAATTCGTAGTCATTTATGATTTCTCTGAGTTACCGCTTGCGGTTTAGTTAGATCGAACTGAGGTTAGTTGTATTATTGGTAAAGTTCTTTCGTTCTTCGATGTTTTTTCAATTTTTGGTAGTTCATGGAAGCATTCCCAAACGAAATGCCGTACTCTTACGATGTTGGCTTGGTTGGTAATCCGTATTTCATATAATACATGTATATTGAGTATTTTACTGATTTCTAGATATATAGTCAACCCCCCCGTTTAACCGAAACACTAATTAAATCTCGATAAATTACAGAAACAGCGATAGTAAATTCACCTCGTTAAATTGCACTGACCAATTTGGTTCAGCAGGATTGCCTTTATAAAGCGCGAATTTTGAGTCTCAAATTCATGTATGTATGTCTATCAGTGATGAGATGTTTGCAAAATCAAGCTATATGTCATCCAAAATTCTAACAATACAATCGATGAACCTGACAAACGAAATCCTGACGATTCAAAACTCCCGATATATAAAATCTCAACATTTACAGCTCAAAACACTGATATTATGTACATAAAGCTAGGGTGTGTATGTAGAAATTGCGTATTTATACCGGTGGTTTACTTCTTTTAATATCATGCTTTTAATTTTTGAACGTCAGGATTCCGTATTTGGGATTTTGTGAGTTTGGGATTACATTGGGCGCTCGATACAATAACGTGATCAGGGGAAGAGATTTGGTGTTATTATATCGAGATGTTACTCTATCGAAAAAATAAATATTATGAAAACTTATTACAGTAATGAGATCGGGGGAAGAGATTTTGTGTTAGTATAACGAAATGTTATCTTAAAGAGTGTTACTGTAACGATTGCTCACTGTATATTGGTCGGATTAATCGATTGTCGAAATTATTGTGTCAGAATTTCGTACCTGATTCTACACACGAATATTCAAAAGTACTGCGGATATTTTATTATTATTTTTCTTAAAAATGGTCTAAATAAGTTATCACAAAACTAAAGTAATTGATAGGTAAACTTTTACCGAAGAAGCTGAAAGAATTTTTAGGATTCTGTCGAAAAAAGAAAAAAAGTTTTATATGTATCTTTTCAAAAACTCAAAAATTTGCAATGATCATCACATTTTGATGACCTCATTCCTATAGAATTCGAAAACTAGCGAATCTTATTCAAAAAAATACTGCAGAGAATTTTTCTCAAAAACTATCTGAACATGTTGCCTAAAAACAAAAAATATTAATAAAATGAAGCTTTATCGAAGAATTAAAAGGCTTTTTAGAATACCGTCGAATAAAAAAAGGTATATATATATATATATATTCTCAAATCATTCTTATTTTTGATAGCATTCCTAACACCATTCGAAAATTTTATTGTAAGCAGTCTAAGTAAATTTGTCTTTATTATTAATATACAAAATTTAACTAAATAATAATAATATTTATTATACACGGACACTCAACCAGGTTGCTAAAGAATATTAGTACTGTATTGCTTTAGGACTGTCCTCACACTAAGTAGACAATAGAAATCTATTAGTAGTAATGGTAGCCTATCTTGATAATAGAAGAAAATGCATTTATCAAGAAATTGAAAAACTTCTAGAGTTTAGCAAGAGCAGAGAGAAGAATTGTATCAGTTTGAAAACCATATATCGATGCTTCTTTTTGCTGATGATCAACACATTTTGATGACATCATTCTGTATACGTACCCTTAAATTTACATTTATCTTTTTAATTTTTTAAAAACATGATCCTATCCTGGCAGTATTTCGAGCGACTAAGAGCGACTTGTGTTATCATTCTTTTTAACTTTACCCAAAGATCCTTTAAGGTAATTTTATCTTTTTTATAATATATTATGCTCATCAATTTGAAAAAAATATGGCGTTTCAGCTTAACTATAACTCTAACCCTAACTCTAACCCTAAAAAGATCACGAAATAGGAATATTAATGATTATGAACCAATTAACGTATTCCCCCAGACCTGGCTTCATAAAAAACATTTAGAAACCATTGTAAACAATATTCTAAAGTGTAAAAGCTTTTCAGAAATTGTGAACATGTTCTGAAGAAGTGTAGTCAAAATTTAATGTGTTAGTTTGGGGTAGGATGTGAGCTCGATGCCGTAAGGAATCGAGGTGATATTGAAGCCATATAGAGGGTGGGTAATGTTTCAGTTAATGATAAAAAAATTTTTTGTGTATATAAAGCAGAAATGAAATAAATCAAAAATTTTATCTTTTAAAAAAATTGGGCAATACTTTTTTGGGTACTGTACATGTACATTTGACTTGCACGAATTATGCAAGAAACTAATTGTGGAAGATATCATGTAGGAATTATCAAGGAAATTATGGAATTAAAGGGTTTAAAGGATTTAATGTAGAAATTAGGAACAAAAATTACGGAATTAAAGATTTAATGTCACTACGGTAACATTGACATAGAGTTTTATATTGATGTTGATGTTGAAAACGATGGAAAAGATTCCCGAAAGAATATCCAAACACCACTACTACGTATTTTAATTTTTTAACAAAAACTAGATTTCAAAGAGCATAAAATGAACAGAATATGTTCTATTGCACGCGTGTCAGGAGAATCAAATAAGAGGGGAAATATTGAATTAAGACAATAGTGATAATATTTTATATACTATCAATCAATTTTTACAAAGATTTTTTGTTGACAATGTCACGAAATGGCTCAGGTTGTCTTTTTTGGCTTCTTGTAAATGTGCATTCTTTTTCTTGCTTGTTAATAGCTTGTGACCTTCCAGACCCTGGTAAATTTTCTTTTTTCCTATTTCTCTTGTATTCGGCAAGAGACCATTATCCCGTCATCGAGTCACGGATCATTTTTCTTGCAACTTGTACGGCACTCAAAACCCCAATAAAAATTACCCATTTACCCTTGTCAAAATCGATCAACTAGAGGAGGTGTGTTATATTATACTTTTTGGCGATCACTGTAGATACACTTGAGCTTGTTAACTATATTCAACTTCTACTAAATAAATTAAATTTCACTTGTAATCACGTGAAATCTTGATTCCAACCGTGTGATAGAGAAGTATCGCCAGAATACGATAAAAGCAATTAATTAGGAATTTTCGTTGAATAAACTATATCATCATAAGTTCCATAAATCAATCGTTAAATTTGACTGTTTTCATGAAATCAAAGTTTACCTCGTCGTATACAGAAAAGTTAAAATTTTTTTATGCGTATTTACTAGGACTTATAAAAATGTAAGTGTATTTTGATTATTTCTCATTGTCGAATAATTGGAAAGAAATAAAATGTGATTAAATTCTTTTGCAATTAGGAATCGAGATAAAAATAGATCGTTTTATTGGTATAAACTAGCAGTAATGACTCGTTTGCTCAAAGTCACGTATGAAATTTGACGAAGTTAACTATGAATTTGCATTTTTCATGCTGTCAAAAATCAGCATCGCTTGATAATAGGTCATTTAAACTATTTAACTGCCTTGGTCTCAATTTATAGATCCTAGCATTTGAATCTATTCTTTAAGTGCACAACCTCTCTAAATGCATGCCCAAGAC